CTACGGGATTCCCGGAAAAACGCACCATATGCCCAGCTGGGCACAGGCTTGGCTCTACCTGGCCAGTACCTCAGCTTATTCCATGTTATGGGGGCGTGGGGGGTAGCGCCGCCCTCTGGGAAACACCGCCCACCCCAATAGCAGGAATATTTGGTACTGCACACCAACAGCTGACGGCCCTCCTCGGCCATGACGCTGAAGAGGAAGGTAGGGTACCGGGACGCTCCGATTTAATCGGATTTTGCAGTTGAAATGCACCGTTCTTTGCATTCGCATGTAGTGCTATTGAAAATGGAACACTTTTCACTCACGGAATGGGACAGAGCAGTGTTGAGTCATACCAAATGACGATTTCCCGGAGGTTCAAAGGCACCTGGATCAAGTTTGCGCTGCATGGATTGTAAGCGGTGGACTGGTAATACCGACATCTACGCTTTCATGCTGCTGGCAAACCAATGGGGAAACACTGCCCGCTTTACCGGGGCTACCCCACCATGGGCGGTGCCACCCCAGGCGGTGTTGTCCATGGACTTTGAACGATGCAAACGATTGGGGAGATGTAAAAATATATGAAAATTACCAGAGATAAGGCGTAAATAAAGTCCCGAATAACTAACTAGCTGTATTGCATCCAGGGGTGGCGCTACGGGGACAAGGAGGGGCTGAGGTGCGCGTCTTCTGTCCTAACAACCTCTTTTTGGAGAATAAATATATCATTCGCGCATGTTATTACCAAGCGGCCACTGTTTCCATTTCTACCGTAATGAAACTCACTCACATCGGTTGGACTGCATCGCTGAAATACTATTACGACACGACTTGGACTCCGAAAGACTGCTCGGGGTTTTCTCCGAATAAGCCGAGCAATATCACGTTACATGCATATATATATATATATATATATATATATATATATTTATATATATATATATATATTAAAATTGGTTAGCACAAAATTACTCATACATTCATCGCTCCATACATTCTAACGTTTCGAGATCTTATCTCATCGTCGCAGAAGACTGAGTGGCACGAGAAATAAGTTTAATAAAAAAGGATAGATATAAATAAAGTAAATTAAAAATAAATATGATAACTTAATGAAAAAGGATAAAAATTGCGCACTACTGTTGAAAAACATTTTGGTACGGAGAACATAAATGAAGCATAATTAGTTGAAGTATGATAGAGTCATGTTTTCACTTTGATACATATAAGAAGCACTCATAATGGTGACACTAGGAAGACACAATGGGAATACTATTGCCACAATCACATCAATAGCGCTCACCGCCGCCGCCCAATAGTCTTGTATTTCATTTTTATTTCTATGATATACATTAATAAGGGAGAGAGAGAGAGATACATATATATATATATATATATATATATATATCCTCTCTCTCTCTCCCCTCACACACACACACACACACACACACACACACACACACACACACACACACACACACACGCACACACACACACAAATCACATGTAGCAACCTATGGATATAAGACCTTTGTGAAAGGCAATGTGAGAACTAACATTGCATTGGGGTATACGAACTACGATGCGACTCCTATTTCCCCAGGTGTGGCTGCTATTTTCGTACGCTCTCGTCAGTGCCCATCACGTATCATCGCCTTTCTGTTCATTGTGCACCTTGAGCATCTTGTGGCCGAGTGCCTTGCATGAAAGCGTCATTTCATAATAGGTTATTAACCCATTGCCGCAATAGAGTGGCAGTTGGAAGGATAATTTTGGTAAGTTTTATGTTAATCATTATAAGCTATATTTCAATGCAGTGTCGTTGCATATAGATATGTATATATATATATATATATATATATATATATATATATATATGTATATATATTATATATACATATATGTATATACATAATATATATACATATATAAACAAATGTATATATCTATATATAAATCGTTTTTCAGCAGTATTGGTGGGATAGTTTCGTTTTCAATTAAAGGCATGGCACGAGTTGGGCTACGCAGGAGCTACAAAAGTCATTCCTCTTAATG